TACGGACTCATACCAGTACCATACGGACTCATACCAGTACCATACGGGCTCATACCAGTACCATACTGACTCATACCAGTACCATACGGACTCATACCAGTACCATAATTTGTACCATACATAGAACCTCCTCCGTAAGTATTATATGGATAGCTTCCAGAATATTGACCACCCGATGGATAATAACTTCCTGTTCCATAATTACTACTTGAATAAGGATATGACCTTTGAGAATCAGAATTTGATGGTAGTTGACGTCGTCTACGACGTACACGACCATCAACAACTGTAGATATATATAACATTCATATTCGTTGTAATTAAAATAAAAGCAGATAACTTACAAGTTGCTGAGATAATCAAAAGAAGCACAATCAATTTGAAAATTGTCATTATGTGACACTCGTTGAAATAATTGTATGTCGTATGTCTGAAGGCTTATGTATGCGCAGATGATTGCAATATGTGTACAGTTACGTTATACTTTATATAAATATTACTCTTGATTGGCCAAATTTTTCTCTTTTACCCGTCTCTCTCTCTCTTTTGGCACTGTATGCATCAATCCTTACAAATTTTCTGCTCGTTTTTTTTTCTCCCTGCTCTCATTATATGAGAGTTTGTCTTACCATACGTTTGTATATGGCCATGTTTTTTTTTGCTACACGTAAAAAATATTGCTGTGCGCTCACATGATTCATATCGATTACAGAAATTCAGTTGACTTTTTCTTGCTTAGTAATAAAAAACAAATGAATGCATGCAGCAACAGAAATATACACACACACACAAACAAGGACTATCAAAATGAATCATATGTTAAAGTAAAAAAAAGCCGAATTTGTATTCGGAATATTTGTATATGATAGTTTTTATGAGCCATGCGTTGAAAATGTGCTGTAATTTTATGTAATAGATGAGCCGGAATAAATATTCCTTTAGGAACTTTTTCTCACTATTGTGGTCAAGGTTCATTATCAAGCCTTAAGCTTTTTTCTTGCATCATTCAATGCTCTATTAGGACGTATTATAAGTTTTGATACAAAACATTCAGCAGAAAAATTAAATAAATAATACTGTGAAGCTTCAATTTTCACATATAAAAAAACCAGTCTGTTTCAGCTTATTCATTCAAGTCTTAAATTAATGAAAAGAAAAAAAACAATAGACAGCAATCTTTTAGGATTTGAAAAGCTCTAAATTTTGACTATTTTAGTCGAGTTTTTATATCAAGGTCTTCTACATAAATGGATTGTTTGTATTTTTTTTCTTCTTAACTTGACAAAAGTAACAGCTTTCAATCAACGAGTTTGACGCTCGCAGTCAAATTTGCATAATTCGATGAAAAAGAATTAAGTAACAATAGCTAAGCTTTATTTCAATTTCAAAAGAAATGAATAATGTATCAGACTAAAATGCAAGAATTCAAATAGGACTCTTTATTCAGAGGTACTACGTAAGATAAGCGAAGCCTTTATGTGTTTTTGGTTTAACTGTAATAAAGTAATATTTACGTCAAAATACTTGTTTGCAACAACCTTCAATGCATATTATGAGTAACAGCTCCCTTAATCATACTCTTAAAAGTGTTCTCTCATGTTATTATACTTGTACAAAACTAGACAAAAAAAAGGCTGAATTATTCATAGAAGAAATCATTTTTTGAAAATTAGTCATATTGAAGCTTTGAAGTGTAGTCCTGTTAATTTTTTTGCTTGAAAAAAAAGTCATGATATATTCTTGTAGCAAATTGAACGATTAAACCTAATTTGATTGAAAAATAAAATTCAGACAAATAAACATGTCAAACAATAAATATGTCGAACTGTAAAAAATATCAAGAGATAAAAATGTCGTGTTACTGAAATATCGATATTAGATAAATTATTGTTGTTATTGTTTTAAAGATAAATAATTGGATATATTTATTTTATTTTTAATAATATCATGTGGAACCAAATTGTTTAATCATCAGATAGATATGAAAATTTTTAAATATATTTTTAGAAATTTTCGTATGACCGAATTTTCACCAATGACGAAATTTCGTTTACTGAAAACTTGAATCTCAAGAATTGAAAAAATGAAGATTTCTCGACAAAAATTTAAGAATTTTTGTTTCTATCTAATGGTTTAATTATTTCGATTTTTTTGTAAATTGTTTGGAATAGCCGAACCCTAGTCGGCAAAAGTATAAGTTTTGATTAAGAGACGCCCAACAAACATTTTACTCACACTTTCATCTTCGTGTTAGTTTTAGAGCATTTTTTGTTTCTATATTCCATTTCACTAATTTTAAACATTAGAGCTGTCATGAGAGTTTATATGTTTCGACATTGATTAGGAAAGGACATTTGTTTTGCCGTAAACGTTATACTAAATAGATATTATATTGTTAAAGTCTTTTCTTCATTTTCATATAGCGCTCGGATCAATCAATGATTGTTTTTTTCCCATATTCTGCTTTCTTATTTTGTCTCATGGTTAGAACGTATATAGGAGACAGAGCAATACTTGTAGAAATCATAATACTAAATTCTAGATACAGGTCAACATTCTTTGTTTTTTCTTATATACTTAATGTAAGTAAAATTTTTGACTGATGTGACAAAAAACTTCGAAGCAATTTTGTCATTCTTGTAATCTAAACCTAATTATCTTCATTGTAGTCTAGGATGAATATCTGAAATAGTCTATCAAGATTTGTTTTGTACTTTAATCTTATATTTAGAGAGCTAAACAATGAATAATATTTCAATTGTAAATATATGTATTTGATGAAAATTATGATCAAATGTTTGATGAGTACGAATAGTCGATTTAATATAGCAATGATCATAGGTTCGATATTGATCTTTTAACTCATTTAACACCAAGTCTTTAATGTTCTTATACATAATAAATATGTATTTATTATTTTTTTTATTGTTAAAATATTCGTTTTGTTTTATTGATTTGATATTCGCAAAAACAAATGTGACCTTTTTCATAATGATTTGATTTTATTATATAAAAAAATTAATATTTCTCTAATGTTTGATAAGAGAAAATAAAAGTATATATTGAAAACATGATTTTATATGACCTCTTGCTATTCTTATTAACATTGATTTAATTTATTGACTCATAAACAAAAGAGTATCTTTTGATCACTATTTTATCGCAGTATATCGATGGTAATACGAAGAAATGTGCGATATGGTTGCTAATTACCTTTTCTCCTACATTTGTTTATATAGAAATTAATAGAAATGCCACTAAATGTTGCTTTTTTATCATCAGAATATTTCCAGCACGAAAAATTTTGAACTAGGATCTCTATGAAAAGATTTAGAAATTTGGGATACAGCTATGATCCGATAGAATCATATGGCATAAACATCGGCGCACTAGATATGGTTTGATCTCTCCTCTTTTCCTCATGTATAATTGACTGAAAATTATAGCTTTACTTTTAGTTGCTTTAAAATTATCATTACGTTCATTTGTTGAATAAAAATAAATTTAAGATCAAGGAGAACGACTGTGAGTGCAATTTTTATAGAATTCAAATGCGAAACATGACATAGCTTCATTTACTAATCAGAGGATAACAGTTCAATTAAGTCAATTTAAAACACGTTTTCTAACCATATTTTTCGGTGTGTGAATGTGGGTTTTCTCTTTAATCATATCCACACTCATGAACGGCAATGATTTTCAATTTTCCATTAGAAGCTAATCGCACCGAATTAATCCATCCAGGGAAAAAGATTTTTGTATACAATCATATATTTCTATTGTGAGAGCTACTGACGATACAGTTTGATTTCTCGGTAGGGGACGAATCGATATAACAAATTTCGGACTTGTATTCATTCTTCAATTTTTCCTATTTGTAAATTGCATGAATAGCAATCAACTGGAGAAGTAGCTTACCTTCATCATTGCTCACGATGTTTATTGAGCTACTTCACATAAAACATGCGCTGGTATAGAAGAGGCAAGAGGATCAGAAAATTCATCAATAACATCTCATAGTCAAAGTCACACTGTTCCTCATTATGATGATGATTGGATGTGAGTTTATCAATGGTATATTGTTATTTGCTACTCTTTTGAGTGACGAAAATGTGTAACGTCAATTGTAACCTCTATTTACAGGTGTGTTCAATCACTTCTGAACGATTAAATTAAATGAATATCAAAATTACTTTTCGCAATAAAGTGAAGCACGTAACAATAATATTTGTACATTGATATAGGTTCACAGATGACAAAAGATGTTGCATCATGGACGTAGCCAGAAATTTTCTAAGGGGTGCCCTCCAACAGAAAAAAATTCTCGATCCTATATATAGTCTTTTAGCTCCGTATTCCCCATCAGGCATTTTTCTCCAAGGGGGTGCCCGGGCATCCTAGGCATCCCCTTGGGTATGCCGCTGCGTTGCATCAATTGTTCCAACTGTTTCTTGTACGTGTCTGATGATAGAACGAATAGTACAAAGGTCACCATTGGTGAAATAAATGAAATAAAATAACCAATCAGATAAAGTCAAGTGTCTCGAGTTGATTTCATATATCCAGATAAAAATGCGAGGAAAGGCTAATATAATGAGAATACATGGTGAAATTAACAAATGTTTATGCATTGTTATTTGTTGATATAAATGTTGTTTGAACGACTATATGTTGTAGTGTAAATAATAACTAATGTCGAGATGCAATTCATTGAGAATGGAACACAGAAATGAAACATATTCAAAATCGCATCATGTACTAAAGAATTCATGCCTCTAGCTTGTTTCTAAGGAGATTGAACGTTTTTAGTATTACAACTATAAGAGTTATCCTATGAAAAAAAAAAATCGCTATCCCAACTCATATGAATTAAAATGAGCTTGAGATTTTGATCATGTATGGTTGTACTCATGTGGTAGATAATGTAACAGTATGAAGCATAAAAGAGATTAGAAAAGGAGAACTATCTGTTTTAGCAAATGTTAACATTGTCCTAAACACCAATTATTATGTTACTTCTTGCAAGAATTAAAGGGAGAGAAAAATGATATATCATAGCCTGATTTCTTATATAGTGTTAATTTAGCCCATTCGTGATGAAAATGATTAATAAATCGGTAGCGTCTTCTTTCCTGTTAAAAAAATTTTTTTCAATCGATTGCATCCGAAAATTCAAATGTTTTAATTATAACAATACATGAATAACAGATTGCCAACCATCTGATTGAATTTTTCGATTTAATTATCAACTATCATTGATTTTCTGTAGATAGTGAAACTTCATTTGCTCACATTTTACATGAAA